GTTTGTTTTGAACTTAAATGTATTTAAGTATAGCACTCAGATGTCGTTTGAGCCAAGTGCTGTTTTTAGAACTCAAGTGTCGTCACAGCAAAGTGTCTATTCTATAATTCAGGTACTGTACTAGTGCTCAGGTTCAGATGTGAAGCCATGGATAAACTAACTGTTCGATTTGAAAATCAAACACTGATGTACCTACCCTTCGTTTAGGATATGTGGTACAATTTCCATTTCCTGCTGCAACACGTTTTCACTCATTGTCAAACGCTTGAACAAAGTTTACTTCCCGAGATTATTTCGACACTCATGTGATGAGAATGTTGGCTGATGAATGATATGAACCATTATTCCTTTATCCACATGATCACAGGAATGTCATTGTGCGTGTCGCGAACCAGCTGACGGAACGACTTAGATCCCCATGAGGCAATTATGGAATTATAGATGGATCTTGTCTCACTGACGTTGTCACACACACACTGACGTTGTCACACTCGTTGACGATGTCACACTCGTTGACGATGTCAACCCTTTAGAAAATAGGAGATATATATAAAAAAATTGCTACAGCGAGACAAAGCGATGGCCAAATGGCCTAATTGTGATTGTCGCATTGTCGCGCTTTGGTTAGTTTTGACAATTTGATTGTGTTTCTAAACGTGAACCGCCACCGTCCGACAACGCGATATGACCCTTATAGGATTCCATAGGTAATAACATCCATCATTCAGTACTCTCTAGTAATGATACCTGAAAGCCCCTTAGGGAATCTCTTGGCGAAATATCTCATTGAAATACCTGAATATCTTGGACGCATGTCCTCTCGGGACGTACACGTTATCCGGGCGGGATCAGATCGTCACAACATAGCCTGACACGGTCAAGTGGTTTCTGTTGTATACAAACATAACCCAAATCGGTATAATCAAAAACCTGAATATCCCTAAACTAGTTAGCCAGATGCTCTATTCGTAAAACGCCATGTTCCGAACGCCAGCGTACGTTTATTGTAAGGAGAATGTTTAGGATTTCAATAACTACAAATTGTACTGTATATATTTGCATGACCTATTTGTTCGCCGAGGTGTTGAAAAAATGCCGTACGTATGGCAATCGATGCTCATGTTACGAAAAACATCACACCCGATGGGCCGAGAAGTCAGGATCCCCACGCAAACCCGACCTACAACTACAGGGTCGGTAGCGACACCGACTCTATAAAATAGCCGCTTACTGGCTGTATGGACATAATCCCGGTCTCGCACATTGAGAATCATGGCTAAAGGCCGCCCACAATATAGAAAATGTTCAGCTAAAGTTGTATGCAAGCAGTCATCCACTTTCGCAAGCACAGGGTTAAATTGCACAATCGTCAACTGTGTTGTCATGGAAACCAGGTGTCCTATAAAACAGTTCACCATTTACCTTTGTGTGATGAAGGAACTATAGTCAGCCGTTCAGGACACAATCTAGTCGCTCCTCCAGCTGTTGTGCTGAGCTTCCCATATGCATAAGTTTATACTACACGAACCGTAGTTACAATATTCCAGCTTTATGACAGCCGTCAGTAAATCCAGCCCTTGACATCACTAGCGTCGATCTACACAACTAGGATACGATGACAGACAGACAGGCAAACATAGTGTATTTAAGTGCCACATGTATGTAAACAAAATATAAAGTACATGTACAATAAACACATAACATTTTACATATACAGTTTACATCCAGCCTTAACAGGCTTATGAGATTATAGGCCTATATAACTAAAAGGGGGTCAAAATACATTATAGGCCTATATAACTAAAAGCGGGTCAAAATACATCATAGAAATATTTTTAAACATGTATCAACCAAGTCAGCGAGCCTTGACCACCCGATTAGATCCCGGCTTCACTGTGTACCAATGCATAGATGACCTGATTGCTGATAAATGACGGGGTGAGACTGAACCACAGGAGGATTATTGCTCTCTGTATCACTTGTATTGGTCACTGTATCCGTCACTTGTATTGGTCACTGTATCCGTCACTTGTATTGGTCACTGTATCCGTCACTTGTATTGGTCACTGTATCCGTCACTTGTATTGGTCACTGTATCCGTCACTTGTATTGGTCACTGTGTCCGTCACTTGTATTGGTCACTGTGTCCGTCACTAGTATTGGTCACTGTATCCGTCACTAGTATTGGTCACTGTGTCCGTTGTATGTGTCCGTCACACTAGTATTGTCCGTCACTAGTATTGGTCACTGTGTCCGTCACTTGTATTGGTCACTGTGTCCGTCACTTGTATTGGTCACTGTGTCCGTCACTTGTATTGGTCACTGTGTCCGTCACTTGTATTGGTCACTGTGTCCGTCACTTGTATTTGTCACTGTGTCCGTCACTAGTGTTGGTCACTGTATCCGTCACTTGTATTGGTGTTCCTGTCAGTAAAACACAACATAGGCCCTGGGTGTTCACGTCAGTAAAACTCAACATAGGCCCTGGGTGTTCACGTCAGTAAAACACAACATAGGCCCTGGGTGTTCCCTTCAGTAAAACACAACACAGGCCCTGGGTGTTCCCGTCAGTAAAACACAACATAGGCCTTGGGTGTTCCCGTCAGTAAAACACAACATTCACTACCTCAGTCATTACACAGTCAGAGTGAGTGAGTATGGTTTTACGCCGCTTTTAGCAACATTCCAGCAATACCTCGGCGGGGAACACCAGAACTGGGCTTCACACATTGTACCCATGTGGGGACTCGAACCCGGCTCTGAACAGCGTGGCGAGCGGACGCTTTAACCGCTAAGCTACCCCACCGCCCCTACACAGTCCTATACCTCAATGAATGAACACGTGTACAGTCACAGCAAAGTTAGATCACAGATGCAAACACACGGCTACGATCACAGCCTCGTCGTGAAACGCGTACAACGCCATGCATGCACTATAGCTCACACACAACGAGGCACTGTCGCGGTCTGCAAGAGAAAGGAAACCCTTAAAAACTGGGTTTGGTCAAACCATTACAACGGTCATCAAAAAGATACAATGCTGAAAATGTCGCCGACACACTGCAAACGTAAGATTCAAAGCACACCAATGAGCCCCGTGTCAAATAGGTCATAACCACTGGTTCTGTTTTTCATTCTGGCTATATTAAACATGTAGCACTCTTTAACCTGTCCAGATCGATCTACAATGGCATGTCTGTCGTGCTATAGGGCGATCAGCATTTGCGTTTTTCATGGTTGAACGATGCGGCGGACAACAATGTCAACATTTTTTTTAGACACAGCAGATCCCATGTGTACCTCTTTCTTATCGCAGCTGAAACGTTAGCAGGAAGAGGACGTAGTACCGTCAAGATACGGTTAAAGAGTACAGCGTTATAGCGTTGCGTTTATCACCTCCATGCAGGGTAACGACAAGTACCATCTATTAAAGTGTTTCGGTAGGACGCGACCAGGGGATCGAACCGCTGACATTCCGCTCTCCGGGCTGAATTAGTGAGTGAGTTAGTGAGTGAGTTGGGTTTTATCAATATTCCAGCAATACCACACCTATCGTCCACTGTGACGCTCGGAACTGGCCTTCAGTGAGTGAGTTTAGTTTTACGTCGCTTTAAGCAATATTCCAGCAATATCACGGCGGGCGACACCAGAAATGGGCTTCACACATTGTACCCATGTGGGGACTCGAACCTGGGCCTTCGGCGTGACGAGCTGAATTAGGACGCAGCAATTGCTCAAAATGGTTTCCACTCTGACAGGAGACTGGTCTGAAGCACAAAACAGGTATTTGGTACAGTTATCCTCAATTATGTTTTTAATGTGAATATGACATGGTGTAAGAAACTTCTGTTAGAAGAGAGGCCGACATCATGACGGCGACATGACGACTAAGAATTCCCAAGCAGAAGGGTTGATTGCGATCGTTGCGAGTCTATATACAGTCAATACAAACATTGGAAACGTCATGCTCGTGCACGAATATTCTCACTTCCACCAACTATGGTGAACAAAGAAATGGACACTCTACCGACCCGAGCCTAGACCTAACACTGACAATCTGCAGCAATCAATCAATTTACCTGTGGTGCTATTTAGATTATCTGGGCCAGATTCGATTACCTATAGGCCGCGCCTTAAAGTCTGAACAAAACAAACAGTATCCATATGTGACATATTTAGAATCACCTTACAATGATCGGCCATATTCGACCACTTCGATCTGTCGTCACGACAATTGTGTCTGACATTTTGACATCCTCGTCTTAACTGCTTCTCTATCTCTCTCTCTCTCTCTCTCTCTCTCTCTCTCTCTCTCTCTCTCTCTCTCTCTCTCTCTCTCTCTCTCTCTCACACACACACACACACACGTATTTGTGGTGTTTTTAGTTTATGTACTGTAATGAAGGCGGCCTTTTATCAGTCCTTTGTGTCTCAGCTAGTATACAAACATTTTCACCAAGGCGTTTATTGTAAAACGCCCCTGTTATTGAAATAGACCTATTTGGTCCTACTTCAGTGCTTTGTCGCGGTATACGTTCACTGATGAGTGATGTGGAACGTAGGGATGCACACATTTATGTTACACACTGACGCACTCGCTTTGTTCAACCAGGCCTACAAATACAGCTGATATAGCCGAAGTACTCGTCGGTCTCACGGGCCCTGAACCACATGATTTTCCCTACTGCCTTGTCCTCCCTGCAATACTAAAGCCCTAAATGAAGCAAGTCTATTTTTCCTCAGGTTTCTGAATTTCCAATCGCACTGGGGCTCCTTTTCAATTTAAAGGGTTTATTTGTTACTATCCAAATTATATATATTCAGAGACTAAACGCTATTCTACTGAAATGCTAACGTAGCGTAAAAAAAATATTAACACATATCACACACTAGCTAACACAATTATGCGCACGAAAATACAAGCGTATATTAACGTGTAGACAAAACCCAGAGTAACCGACACCAGTGTACGCGCGACGCCACGCAAATAATGCACTAGGTACATTTACACGATATAGTACGGTAAGGCTAGCATTTGTCGCTGAACTGTGAGACACTTGAATTGCCGGGACCTTGATGAGCGGACCTGTTTCCCTTCTCCAAGTAAGTCCTAGCATTTTGTCTAGTCAGTAACAAGAAATACAGTCGTTAATATAGAACATCTATAGTTAAATGTCACAACAACGTATCTTAACGCTATTAATGTGTTTGTGTCCCGTTTTGAAGAGACACACCTACCGGAACACGAACCCAGAGCTATGTCGCCCTTCCATCCGTGGTACCCACATGTACTAGGGATGGATGGCTTCATGGATCAAGTTCAAGGGTTAGATATTTGGTTTACCAGAACGAGAGTAAATTTGGTCATCACAGCGGGGGAAATGTTTCCTTTCATGCCGCAGCATGTCCTAAAAATGAGAAAAATGAGGCGTTTCCTCAAATTGTCATATCTTATTGTAAAGTTAAAGGGAATATCATAGATCCTAAAATTTTCAAGTTAAATTACTGTAAAAGACTCATACTTCTTTGAGTGTCATTTCTAGAAGTTTGAGAATCAGATAAGGACAACCTTTATGTATGAACAACACTTATATTCAGGTGTTCTGTATGGAAACGTCGCATCACATGAATATAGAAGATGTTCATCCATAAAAGTTGCCCTTATCTGTGTTACACTTGTAGGGGCATGGTGAGTAGGGAGTAACGTAGCCAGAACCGTCTTGTGATTGAGTGGGAGGGAGTCTCGGTCGTATACAGGTCGCCAACACCGCCTCATGTGGCTGAAAGGGGAGGAGTGCACTTACAATCCAAACTCGCTCGTGGAAAAATCGCTTAACAATTTGCATTGTTAAAGAAACTACTGCCACATAATAGTTAGGTTTCATTAAAAATATATTTACCCAAGAACCCTTGCACCCCCTCCACTACCGATCTCTTGATTGGTGCTTAGAGTGTTCTACATTTTCTACCATCACAAGTTTACAACGGAACCATTCTATTGTCATCTTCCTGTCAGTTTAGCCAGTCGGTTACTGATAAGCAATGTCCATGTAACCAGAGACCATATAATATTATTATATGGTCTCTGATGTAACGATGTTCATGTAGCCTCACACAACAGACCCCAGATCATGTTTTTACTAAAACAATCACCCCTACATACATCTCATTCTTATCAATAAGATTCCTTTTCGGCCCTAATAGTTGGGAGACTTGATGGTTCCTGTAACAGCTGTGGATTCCCATGACGAGTGTGTATTCTGTAACCTTATACATCGCTCCACTACAGGGAATGGATGTTTATCAGCTGTGTCAGTGTCATATTGTGATGACCTCATTCAGAACCAACCGATGGCGCTGTAGCGTGGCTATGTGTATTGATTAACAAAAACAGTTGCGACTTATACGTAGGCGTGTTGACGTCGATGTAGAACTAGCATAGGTGCACGCCGGTGTGGGGACTGCGAAACAGAGTGAGTGTGTTTAGTTTTACGCCGCTTTTAGCAATAGTACAGAAATATCACGGCGGGGGACACCAGAAATGGGCTTCACACATTGTGCCTATGAAGGGAATCGAACCCGGGCCTTCAGCGTAAAGAGTGAACACTTTCACCACTAGGCTTCAATAGGCATAGATACCTACAGGTGTGGTGACTTCGAAATAGAAGTAGCAAAGATACCTACAGGTATGGTGACTTCGAAATAGAAGTAGCAAAGATACCTACAGGTGTGGTGACTTCGATATAGAGGAAACATGGTTAGTTGTGACTGCTGATAAGATTCAGATATTTTGCTCTATAACTGTGTGTTTGTACTGGCATATTCGCCCACAATCAGTACATCACTAGCATGCTATACATAAAGTTAGAGGAAACATGGTTAGTTTTGACTACTGATAAGATTCAGATATTGTGCTCTATAACTGTGTGTTTCTACTGGCATATTCGCCCACAATCAGTACGTCACTAGCATGCTATACATAAAGTTATTTTTTCCCCCACCCCCACCCCCAATATCAACAGAAGCCTTTCAACCACCCAGCCTCCGATGTTCTGTGGATGATGTCATCTAGTTGGAATGAGCCTCCATTGCTGAGCCCCAGTCAGGTATGACTATCATATCACACATTCCAGCGTTATTTACCCATCACCAACCACACAGAAGTAACAGGTGATGCAGCTGCTACAGCTGTCCTTGACATCAATAAGCCATTACCGGCGGCGTTTATGTTGTGACAAGCGTCTTCACTCAAATATATTTTATTTTCTGAAGGCAATTAATTGGATTGGAAGCAAGCTCCGTGATCTTACTTGATCCGATCTGTGATAAAACGGTTTGTTCCCAGAACACTGGCATATTAGGCATGCTGAACTAATCCGCTCTTGTTACAAGCACTATTAGTTAAATCAGCTAAAATCCGTTTTTTAAATAAACATTAAATTTCCTACTTACGTCCAACTTCTTCTCTGTAAATCTGTGTGACAGGTGTGGCGTCTTGTCTTACTATCTCCTTGATATTAGAAAGAAAACTTTCTACGGCGATTTTGGTATCATATACAGGATGGTTGTGACACTGACCTGGCTTGGTGACAAGATCATATTTCGTGTTGACAGTTACGGTGCAGTCTGGTGTTGAGCATGTCCAATGGGTGCTATGTTGTCGTCTACTTTTGATGCGGAATTTGTAACCACCCATGACTAAACTTCCACCACCTCTTCTGTTCGTAATAAATCGTACATTAACTTGAACACTAGCTCGCCATCGTGGTATGCTAGAGTAACAGTATGACGATCTTATATATATCTAACAGTAAGTTGTGTTTACTCATTTATTCCAATACACCATCATGAAAAATTGAAATTCGCTCACTCAAGACTAAGAATACACTTTGATCTCTCGCTCACTTTCTGAATTTCGCTCACGTAGGGTTAGGAGATGTCCCCCATAATCCCTCATTGTCATCCAATTAGCATGCTTTACCCGACTAAAACAAAAGGTGCCGGCATTCCGGGAAGACGCCGATAAAACTAGTGTCTAATCCATACATCAGTTTATTGTACAAAATGATTGACAGCAAACAGAATTGGAGCCCTCAGCAACATCACCCTCACAGCATCCCATACAATGGCCCAAATTGGGAGGCTGTGTTTACACATGTATAGAATCGAACCTGTGTCATCGGAATGGTCACTGAGCACTTGAACCACTATGCCACCCATGTCCTCGTATGTACTCTGAGCAGTGGCCGCAACTTGTGGGAGTGGTGTGTATAACTGACAACGGGTTGTGTTTCTATTTCTTGTTTGAGAGCACTGGCAACATGGGCTGGTTGGTTGGTTGGTTGTTTTACGCCGCACTCAGCAATATTCCAGCTATATCGCGGCGGTCTGTAAATAATCGAGTCTGGACCAGACAACCCAGTGATCACCAGCATGAGCACCAATCCATGCAACTGGGATACGATGACATACGAGGTCAGCGGGCCTAACCACCCGATCCCGTTAGCCGCCTCTTACGACAAGAATGGTTTGCTGTTGACCAATTCCAACCCGGATCTTTGGGAACATGGGACATGACTTCTTGTTCTGAATGTTTGAAAGATTTGTCACCAACGGTTAAAATGTCAGCATCTAGGTGTATATGTGGAGGCACAAAGGCGGGGTAGGGGCTTGTGTTGATGAGAATGGAGTGGATGATAACACGGATGAGTTTTGATTGCTGGTAGAGAGATAGATTTTAAAATAGATCTGAGAGGCTAGACAGTGAGTGTTGCTTCATAAAACATTCTTGCAGTGGCACTTGATATCTGAGATACTTCTATTTTTAGACGTTTGAGGACAACATTTACTGTAAATAATTCATGAGTTTTTCCTATACTCATTCTGTGTGGGAAATCATTCAGAAGTCTTGCGAAACATGCTGGACAAGGGTTGAACAAGGGTTGAACAATGAATAGCGGACAACTGAAATATAGAACGCTGTGGGGAGCAACAAAAACGTATTCATTAACTATTTCTTTATGCCTGCTCCTCAGTGCGTACTGACCCAAATTCCATACAATACATCGGGTGTTTCATGAATACGAACACCGTGTTATACTTGCACGTCAACCAAACCCCTGCAGACCCGGGCTGCTTGACGTGACACACCGGGAAACTATATTTAGGTATAATTTCCACGTAATTTAACAGAAAAATGGACAAATGTGACCACTGCCCAGTTCCCTTTCATCAAATGATAACATTTGCTCCTAAATATATTGTTACATTACAAACATGAGTGACCCCAGGTCGAGCAATTCACAAAACAATTCCTATGCCGACCTACTGTCAGGAAAGTAACTTTCATCTCATTTGTATGTTATGTATATTTTAGCAAGATTTTCTTTGGAAAGAAAGTGCACAAAAACAAAGTAAATCTTCCCGAATATTTTTCATGGTATACCTGTACTAAAAATATGTCAGATACGTTAGTTTTCCATATAATGGATATTTAGATGAAGTGCAATAGGAGATTGGTCATTTACAGTCTACTGTTGCGCTGATTTGTTTTAGCCTTTACCTGGTATCACTTAGTGAAACAAGGCTGATAATATACATTTAGAATAATTAACTGTTTTACTTCCAGCAAAATCTCCTCAGACTGTTAGCTTTTACTGTCAACATTATAACTTCCAAAATGACAGGAAGGCACGTGTGTATTTACCAGAATATTCACACAGGATTTGCGCATGCGTAATAATAATTACAAAAACTAAGACCGTTCATTTTATGGAAGAAGCACTAAATAGAGTACGAACTAAGCTTATAAAAAATATCTGAAAATGTTTACAACAGCTGCAAATAAATATAGCCTTAACAACCTATGATCTATATTAACCAATGATATCATATATTGTATATATTTATATATATCTATGTAATATGAAAGCAACATTTATTAAAAAATCCCCAATTCCATGGGAAACTATAATTGGAAACATATATTTTATACATAATAAACATTTTGCTTATTGCTTGTCACATCCATAATATACAAATTTCAGTTCCTTTAAATATCAGTGAGTGAGTGAGTGAGTGAATTACTGCGTGAGTGAATATGG